CTGAGACCTCTAGTCTTGTTTGCATTAAACGGTCCAGATTTCTCTGGGTTGCCGCTGTTTCATCTAACAAGGACTGGAGTTTTTCCTGTGCGGCTTTCGTCGCAGGCGGAGTCCCTGGTCTATGCTCTGTAGGCTTGCGAGGAAGTACAGGCTCTCGGACAACTTCTCGGACTGGTTCAACACTGTCCCAAGGAAGTTCGAAGGACACCTTTTTCTTTACTAGTGACATGTCCCTCTCGTCTTCAGAGTCCTCTACCTCTTCAACCGTTGCCCTTGGCGTAGGTCTAGATATTATAGCCTTCTCAGGTCTGGATATTATAGCCTTCTCAGGTCTTGGCTGTTCAACTTCTAAAGCCCTGATCGCTCTACTTGCAGCCACTGTCCGGGCTGGTCTCGTTATTTCTACAACAGGTACAGGCTTCTTTGGTGCGTTCTCCGGGGGTTTTCTGCGCCCAACCTTTTGGTTGTCGGCCCCCTTCCTCGAACTACTCAAAAACCCTCATCGTCTTCCAAATCTGCCGGTGCCTTTCTCCTGGTTGAGACGAAAACTTCATTGTTCTCATCCCAATGTGTCTCGATGAACTGCGCCATCTTTTTGTATCGGTCAGAGTAGATCTCCGGCTGACCTCTCGAGGCCTGAGCATTACTCGAAACCATGGAAGTACTTTGACTTCCTCCCATTTGGTTCTGTAGTAACGCCTCTCGCAAGAGAGTCTTCTCTGCCCGCAATGTGCGCATCTCATCTGCCAAGGAGTCATAGGCAGGGGTATTTTCTTCACCGATGTAGAACTGCTCGGTCAAGTCGTACGCCAGGAAGGTCTTATTGACACTTTGCCTACTCTTGTACTCGATTGCCTTCTGCTGCTGGGTCTTGTTCTTAGGTTCCCTAGGAATAGGTCTACCATCAAAGAACGTGGTCCTCCCTTCAACGACTTTTATTATGCCATTGTCAATGTCTGAATGACGCTTTTGGCAGTCGCCGATGAAATGCCCGTAGACACCACAGTAGAAGCAGTCTCGGTTGGTAGGAGGTCGCATACCACCGGAAGTAGGACGACTAGGACTATCCCATGTCTTTGCGACTGGCTCCGGAGTCTGAGATCTCCCAGCTCGGAGTTCGTCCAAGACAGTCTGATGTTCCATCCACTTCTGATGATTTTTGACTTCAACTTTGTCCATCGCTGTCGCGATTGCGGACTCCAACTGATCCTTAAAAGACTCCTCGAGTCTAGGCTTAGTTCTCTCTTCCTGCGACTGTAAAAGCACTGCAGGTTTCTGGCTCTTACGGGCTTTCGCCTCGGCCCGTTCCGTGTTGTAAAAAGACACGGCCTCTTCCTCGACAATTTCGTGTGAGATCTCTAGAACATCTGTCCAGTAGAACTTGTCGTCCCGATTACTCTTCCAACTAGTCAGGCGGGAAATCAGCTCTTTTTGAGAAGCTGTTGCCGTGCCGGCTTTGTCTGCAGCAGTCGCCTCCTTCAACGCGACACGTGAAGGAAGGTCCGCCGTGGAAGTTATCCGCAAACGACTTCTAACTTGGTTCACAAGTTCTGGGTCACAACAATCAAAGAACTTTGTTACAAGTTCTCTGTTCGAGATACGATTGTTCGGGTGAAGTAGTTTAAGTGCTTCTGCCCTGAACTGTCGTTGGAATCTCATGTACAAGGACTGATCGTCCCCAACGGGATCCCGTCGGTGCTTCTTGCACAATCTTTCCAGGAGCGCAAATGAGCCTTCACGGTTTTCTCTGCACTCGGGGTAGTTCGCAATTATTTGGCTTTTGAACTCCTCCCAAGTCGAGCCATCCATGCTGGTCTCAAATGCATCCCATTCTCGTTTTGTCTCGGCTGTGCAGTACCGCAAAGCGATATGCTTTTTATCTTCATCGGAAGTAGCTTGCGCAGCACCAAAGATGTCCTCAACGGTCTCGAGGAACTTCTCTAGTTCTTCCGGCTGTTTTCCATCAAAAGACAGGGCATTTCTGCCGAAATTAACCGGCAACTTCGTCTTATCCATAACCATATTTAACTGTGGTTGAACAGTAGTAATCGGGTTTCGAATAGACGGGTTGTTAAAGGCTTGCGAGTTCGAAGTGCTAGCCTGCGGTTGTCCTGAAGTACTCGGAAGTTCTTCAAGAGCTCTGGGACTCGTAGGTGGTGTTTGAACAACGGGTGGGCTCGTGGAACGAGGTGTCACACTATTGTCACCGTGAACCGGAAGGTCTCTACGGGTCTGGGACTCGGAGTTTGTGCTAGTACGATCTCTGGCTTGTGATTGCTCACGACCACTGAAAGTAGTAGTACTGCGTCTCGAAGGTCCTGCAAGATTCAAAGCACTGTAACCAGCACTCTGCGAATTCTGCGTTTTCCGGGTTTTAGGTCCTGGGACGTTGAACTCCGTCGTATCAGAAGTTCTCGGCTTTGGGGCCTTTTTGTCAACGGTCTGAGGTCTGGGTTTTGGCCCAAAAGACAGGGTGTCAACGAAGGGGGTCTCTATGAAGTTTTCTAGGTAGAAGAACTCCAACCAACTGGTTCTTTGAAAGAACTCTTTTGCAATCACAAAGTGATCGGCTTTTGTCTCAACTCGCGAAATAACAAATGGACCCTCGCGGTGGGCTCCAGATGAAACGGTGCACCTGAGTATGGGCTGCCGAAGACTAAGACTAGAACTAGTGCGCGTGAACACACTACAACTAACTCAACCAACACACACACAACACACAACCAATACTCGGTACCAACAATGAGTTCGGGTCACCCTGAGATATACAGGTAAGATGTAATCTCGCGATCAACGGTCTGGGACAAGGCCTGCACACGAATGCGACTTCTCTAGAGCACTCCCAAGTACTTCCAGTAGTTGTGGGACAACTAAACTAGAACTCTCTCCACAGATACCGGGGGAACGGTATACGGGGTGGGTGAAAGATGGTAGTGTTCTAAGAGATCCAACGAGTTCTTAGAGGTCTGGCAGAGCACAACAAGCCTGCTATACGGGGTCTTGTATCAATGCTGGCCCTCTATCACAACAGCCCTTTCTATACGGGGAACTGTCTGCGACGAGCTGACTACAACAAGCCTGCTAAACGGGGTCTTGTATCAATAGTCCTACACAACAGCCCTTTCTAAAGCGGGGAACTGTCTGTGCGACCTTTGACACTATAGACAAAGGATTTACGGGGTCTCACAAGTGAGTTGAGTAGTTTACTACTGATCACAAGTCCTCAAGCGAAACAACCTCTCAAGGTCAAGTTCTTAATGAAACCAACAGATAATGTTTTATTGACAAACAATCTCCGCTCAGTTACAGAGGACACCAACGCCGTGGGATAGTACTTTGGACTGCAGGCAGTCTGTGGGCACGATCTGGGGGGCAAGGATGAACTACTGTACTGCGGCTACTACTTGCTATTTTATAGGTTTTCCGGGAAATACATGACAGATAGAAATGACGACGATGACAGAGTGAAACAGATAAGATGAAACAAGTCCGGATCCCGGGAACGTCTATGATTGGCTGTTGAGAGCCGGTCTGGTCCGGATCCTCGCGCCGTGAGAACTCCAGAGACCCGTTGTGGTATATTTGCAAACTCTAGGCCAGGCCAAGAGCACTGTCTAGTGCTCCCGAGTACTTGCCAAGTACTTGTAGAGGATGCCGCACTTCGGCTTGGTTTGTAAAGCCCGATGGCGTGCTTTGCCGCTCCACTAGAACTGCTGCCGCAGCGGGTGACCGCTTTGACCGATGTTCCGGGGTTGGTTCGTCTGCTAATCTCCTAGCCTACTGGTTTCGACTCCGTCCGACTCAGTTCGTGTGGGCCAGACCTCTCCAGAGGTCTTCTCGGCATTCCTACAGGTACTGTGGACTTCTCGTCGAACAACCTTTGTCCTTGTTTGACTTCTCAGATCGCGTCGTACTGGTCACATGTCTCGTTTGACGTGCCAAGTACTATGCCGATCACTGTCATTCCTAGCAATCCATGCGTCTATTGCTCTCTATAGTTCCCAAGTACTCCTAGAGTACTCTGAAGGACTTCTCCGCACGTCGCGGCCTTGAACCCTACTACTTGGTTCATGCCTGTCTAGTGGACTGTGGCCATCCAGTCCCTTGGGTATAGTCATGGTCTCCAAAGTTGTCAAGGCTTTTGTGGGTATTCTCCTGGGTATGGTATCTAGCTTTCGTAGTGTAGTCCAAGTCCTGGGAAGAACTCGTACTTCACTAATGACCGCACAGAGGTCTTAGCAAGCAATATGACAGTCCCCGTTTAGTAGGACCCAGAGCATAAGTACTTGTCTAAACATGATACGGCTTCTCCGGCATGGTCAATACACAATCAGCAGCTCGGAGCTCCGCTCTGACTCTAACTGTATGTCACCGGACAGGGTTCAAGTACCAAGTACTCAGTACTAGTACCGAAGTACTAGCAGTTGTACTGGTTAAGTGATAAATCGCAAAAAGCGACCTGACGAGGGGTCGGCAGATCCGACCCGTATCACCGGCTCTCGCGCCTCGAGCTCGAGCTGCAGCAAATCTAGCCGCGGAGAAGAAGTCCAGTCACCTGCTGACTTAGCTGCCCCGTCCACTTGGTTTGTGCTCTCCACCGGGGACACTTTTACTGACGGGTGCGTCTCCCGTCTCCCTACTTCTTTTCTCCACTTACCTTCCTCTCAGGTACCGTGCAGCGGTTGCCGCCAAGAAACTCGGTGTCTCCCACCTCAAAATCACCCGCTCCCTGGAAGCCGCCCGTTCTTGGCTCGAGCAGCAGGCTCGGGGCGCAGACTAGTTGGTTAATGCTGCTTCAAATTTATTCACTACTGTTGCAAACGTCCGTGGCTCGCTCGATCGTAGCTACCACGTCTAATGTATCGTATCACCGTGCTGCCTGCTACTACTATGAAGCGTACATATTGGATGTCTTTTGAAAAATTGCCATGATTGCATTCAGTCAAGTCATGGTGTACAGTTTACTAATCAGGTTGAGTTCAATATACAAAGTATATATTACCCTGGTGGTTCAGCGGTTGTAACGCTGGCTGGACCGGCGTCTGAATTTCTGACGTCGTGGGTTCGACTCCCACCTTGGGCATGCCGCGATTTCTTTGCCAATTTTTTTTTACTTAGCATACACTCAAAAAAAAAAATGCCAAAATGTTAATCACTTTACAATAAAGAACAAGGGGTAGTAAACACGGAGAGGCATAGGAGAGCATGATTAAGATGATGAGCTCCCTGTGAGCGAAGACTCCGCACCCGAATCCTCGTCGTCCGATGCGCTGACCCATACACCGTCCGCCCTCTCCCTCCACTCATCCGTTGCCGCTTGCCAGGTAGTCGCAACATTCTGAGCCCGTGCCATGTGCTCTTCGACAATCCAGCGCCGTCTCGCTGCGGACGCGCGCTCCGCAACGAGGCCCTCGGCGAAACAGACGCCCTCGGTGAGGGAAGGGGAGGCAGACAGCGCCGGACTCTCGCCCTTCGCCTGCAAGGAGTGATAGAGCTGCCGCGCGCCGCTGTAGTCATCAAAAACGGCGCCACCGCTGCTATGGCGCACGGCATATGCCATCTTGCCGGCGATGCCCGACGGAGGTGGAAGCGACGGGAGAGGAGGGGCCGGATGCGCGTCGCTGACGCATGGGCGCCGCGGCGATGGCGGTGGTGTTGTTGGGAGCATGAGCGAGGGTGGTGCGTGCGAGGATCTGTGGGGCGATCGGGCGCTTGGCGACGATGGCGACGAAGACGGAGCCGACGAGGGTGGAGCAATGGTAGGGGAGTGTGGGGGCTCCCAGAGGGTAACAGCGGACGCCGCTCCATCGCCTCCCGCTTCATCAGCCGTCGGGTGACTGTGCTCGCCACGGTCGCAGCCGGCGAACCACGCGGCCTCCAGTGGCGCCCAAGATGTGTAGCTTTTGAGTGTAGCGTTGCGGACGCCTTTGTACTGAGCGTCTGCGCTGGGCCTGACATCGCTGGATTAGCACGATCGCAGTTCGTCAGAGAAAATTTTAAGAAACAGCACACACCAGGAAACATACGCTCCAGGGAAGTCGACCCCTCTACCGGTGACCAGATAGATCTTCTGCCCAGGTAATGGGCCATCCGGTGCGCCGGGGTCCACGTAGAAGGGTACAGGACAGCGTCCAGAGTTCATGGCAGGAGAAAGACCGTGACGGCACTAGCAGGAGGAAGTGAAGCCAAGAAAGGTATGCTTACATCATCTGATATCCTGCTTGTACAGACCACCATGTCCAATTTCGGTATGTCTAAACGCCTCGCGCCCTTAAAACTGGTTCACAGTTGTTCATTTTTAGGCAACCTTCTACAAGGCGAAATATTTTCCTTCATCGACGCCTGGGATGCCGCCACTTTTGTATCGGCTAACCTTGCTGCCAAATTCTACTAGTTACACGGTTCGTGATATTCTGCCGCCAAAAAGAACATATTTCCTCAATATTTCCTGACCATACATCCCCCTAGGTCTTAATAGTATATGTTGCAATCCAACTGCTACGGAATTTTGTGTGAATTCTGCTTGCCACTACACCACATCAATATAATCTTCGCTGCCGCCCACATAGTCTGTGAAGGTGCCCGCATCCGCCTCTTTTGCCATGACGGACTGCCTGCGCGCTGCCCTCACCCAACGCCTCCTGCGCGCCATCCTCCCCGCGTTCCACTCGGGGTCATACACGCCAGCCAGCGGCGGGGGGTCGACCGCCCCATCCCGCACGCGTTGTTGGTCCCGTTCCAGCGCCCGGTCCTTCGCGCGAAGGTCCGCAATCCACCGGCTCCGCTCTGGCTCCTTGCAGGTGTCTAAGCAGAGCTGGTAGAAGCGCGCATAACGTTCGCCGCCATCATCGTCGTCGAGGTCATCCGCCGTCTCTGGTCCCCACCGCGTCTCGACCGCCCGCCCGAGGCTTTCCAGTTCACCCACGAAGGACGCATCATGGGGCGGGGAGCTGCGTGGGCGTGCGCTGGGGGCAGCGGCGGCTGCCTTCCTTCTTTCTGCACGACGCGCACGAATGAAGGCCTGGGCGTCTTCGATTTGGGGTATCTCGGGCTTTTCTGCACCCGATGTCAGCTCTGGGACGGGAGGGGGGGACGAGGGCGCGCTGGACGGGGACGAGGTCACGCACTTGTGAGATAGCGCCCGCCGCGGACTCTGGTCGCCGCAGGGGAACGGCGCTGGGGCCCGGGAAAGTCGTCCCACATGCTTGAGGGTCTATTGGCGCGGTTCTGTGGTGGAGGGAATCAGAAGGTGAAAAAGATCACTCCATCACTGCCTCCAGTGGGCTTATCAATCAATTCAAGAGCTGCGCATCGAAGAGTTTGGACGGCACAATACGGGCGCGTAAATTTAGGTACAAACAGTGCGGACGCGCTCGCGCGTGCCTCCGAGCGCGTAAAAATACCTAACGCGCGCCTCAAATCTCGCCGTCTTCGCCGCCTTTGCATCTCTCGCCTCTACGCTCTCCAGGTTCTCGGCATCCACCCGCAGGACCGCAGGCTTCCCCAACACCCCTCCCTTCGACTCAGTGTGGCGACGCTCGCGATGGTGCAGAAGTCGCAGGATGGACGTAGGAAGACGACTCACCCCTGCACGCTGTCTTTTAAGCAAGGCCTGGCGCGCCTCCCGTGCTTTGATCCTCGCGACGATACGATCGTAGGCGGGGACGTAGCCCGCCGGTCGTCCGGCCCTGAGCTTGGCGACGTCGACCATGTCTGGATTCAGCCATATCTTGAAGCCTTGCGTCATCTCGCCTTGATCAAGCGCCTCTGCTGGGGGTGAGTCGCCAATGCTGTAGGCAGTTGAATGACTTACCTCGTTTCAAAGCCAGGGAGACTGCATCGTCGCGCGCCCTGATTTTTGCGATGATACGCTCGTACGCGGAGATGTAGCCAGGTCGGTGCCCCGCCGTGAGCTTTGAGACGTCCACCATGTCGGGATTGGGCCAGATTTGAAGGCCCCCCATCCGCTTTCTTTTCACCACCGTTTCTACCTTGCGTGAGTCTCCGCCGCTGTTTATATCTATGAAGGGCTTACCATGCTTCACAGTCAAGGAAGGCAGATTTTCGGCGCCTGGCTGGATGTTCTGGAGGATGCGTTGGGTGTCGCTGCGAGCCATGTCCATGGTAAAGGCCAGTAAAGTGGGGTTTCGAATTGATTTCGAATATTACTTTAACGCCATCACCATCAGCGCCCTCGCGTGGAGATAGATCCGCGTTTACTCTTCAGCCGCCGCCGCCCCGACCGCTTCCATCAGCTCCGCAAGCACCCGCTCCATGCGCTCTTTGGCAAGCTCTCGCATTGCCCTCTCGTACAGGATTGCGCGTGTCGCCACCCGCTGCTCGTTCAATCGCGCAGTCAGTGCCTCCATGGCGCTCCGAACCTCCTTCTCCGCCGCCTCATCAAGCTCCGTCGGCTGCTCCTGGTCCAAGCTGCGCCGGGGGGGTGCACGAAAGTCCCACCACGCCTCCGGGTCAACCCTATACCACCGATCGTCGGTGATCTTGCGCTGGGGACCCTGGCATGTGCAGTTAGCCGGGTGCCGCTTGCATTCGGTACACCTGATATCGCTGGAATATTTGGAAACATTTTTGGGTGCGGTGCGTGATCGTCCGGACGACCCCTTGCCTTTTTTGGCGGTCGAAGCGACCTCTGACCGAGGGATTGCGCCTTTGGCTACGACAAGGGGTGGGACCGGGGGTCCTCGTCGGCCGTTGGGACGGCGTCGATTGTTCCACAGCGCCTGGAGGGCGTCTGTACCTGAGGTGAGCTGGCAGCGGCCTTTTTTTCCCCACAGGACTCACCCAATTTTTTCTGAGACTCAGGATCGCGCCCTATTAGCGCAGGCCCCGTCGGCGCCATCTTAGCACCAGCAAAGACACATGATTGTATTATATAGGCATAAAAAATCTATTACAATGCAAAGGGGGTTCCCAAGAAACCTAATACAGCAATCATTTGTAATATTCTCCCAATGCGGTGCGACGATCGGCCTCCAGCTCATCCGCCTTCGAAAAAAGATCCATGGCCCATTGCCAACGTGATCCAGGGACACCATCAAAAGACGCGACCAATTCCGCCCCGCCCACCTTGGCCAGGATGCTCTTCGCCGAGCGGAACCCGTATTTGACCCATCGAAAGAGCCCGCCGGCCGCGTACTGCGTGAATGAGAAACGCGTGTCGCCGCCGTGAATCGGAGTATTGCCATGGTCGATGAAGGCCGAAGGCAGTAGGATGGTGGCGCCCGAGGGGAAGTCAATCACCATCTTGATCTGCTTCATGTAGATCTGGCCACCCGCCTTGTGATCGAAACTGCCCCCGGAGGTAACACCGCAGAGGCCGTGTATGAGATTATTGAAGTCAGCGTGCTCATCGGTAACTACGTCGGGTCCAAGGTTGAAGGTGGCAGACGGGAAGATAGAGTTTGAAAAGTTGTGCTGCAGACCATCGTGGTGCTCGAAAAGGGCCCGCAGTACGTCAACGTAGTATCTCCAAAGCTTGGGCGCATACCGAGCGAAGCCACCTAAACAGTATCTACTATAAGCAGCCTGTTTTCCTCAGCTCGCTACGCTTACTCGACTGAAACCCCGCAAGACGACGGATGCTCTTGTTCTGCAGGAGATTGTTGATCAGCTTTTGTTTCTGCCTTGAGTGTACGAGGTTTCCTGGACGCTGGCCAACGCGATTCGAAATGAGCGATAGCGCAGATTAGCTACGAAGTATCTACCATCTGACCACCGCCAAACGAGACGCCGGCGGCGAGCACGGGGAACAGGCCACGGCGATGAGCCTGGCGGCCACGAAAGACGCCGCAGGCAACTCCCGCGCGACGTGCGCGATCCATGGCGTTGCAGGCATCCTTGACCACCGCGTCCCACTCGGGGTCTTCAGGGCGGCCCAGAAGGACGGCGATGACGCGGCCGTGCACGTCCAGGATTAACTTCGGCGACCTACACAGCGGTAAGAACAGGCAGGGCGGCACTGGGCCAAGAGGAGCTCACTGGCCGTCCCATTCGACGTGTCGGGCCCCCCAGCGCTTGAGCGCGGCGAGGGTCCATGTGCGGCGCCCGCGGCGGCTTCTGCGC